CGGCTGGAGAGCTGCCTGGCAGAAAAGGACCTGAGGGTGCTGGTTGACAACTGGCTGAATGTGAGCCAGCAGTGTGCCCAGGTGGCCAAGAAGGCCAATAGCATCCTGGCTTGTATCAGGAATAGAGTGGCCAGCAGGAGTAGGGAAGTGATCATCCCCCTGTACTTGGCATTGGTGAGGCAGCACCTCGAATTCTGTGTTCAGTTTTGGGCCTCCGAATTCAAGAAAGACACTGAGGTCCTGGAAGTGTGCCCAGAGAAGGGCAATCAAGCTGGTGAGGGGTTTGGAGTACAAGTCCTATGAGAAGTGACTGAGGGAACTGGGATTGTTTAGCCTGGAGAAAAGGAGGCTGAGGGGAGACCTTATCACCCTCTAGAGCTACCTGAAAGGAGGTTGTAGTGAGGTGGGGGTCGGTCTCTTCTCCCAAGTAACAAGTGATAGGATGAGAGGAAACGGCCTCAAGTTGCGCCAGAGGAGGTTTGGATTGGATACTAGGAAAAACATCTTCACTAAAAGGGTTGTCGAGCATTGGAACAGGCTGCCCAGGAAAGTAGTTGAGTCCCCATCCCTGGAGGTATTTAAAAGACATATGGATGTGGTGCTTAGGGACATGGTTTAGTGGTGGACTTGGCAGCATTAGGTTGGCTGTTGCACTTGATGACCTGAAAGGTCTTTTCAACCTAAGCAATTCTGTGTTTCTGTATGACCATTATCTCCATTTTCTGCATTTCGTCCCTCTGGGATGCCCCCTCTTTCTCTCCAAAGCTTACCCTCAATTCCCTTTTCCTCCTGTCTGTCACCCCTTCTCTCTCTGATGGCCTATCCTCCTCTTCAGTGACTGATCAAGATATTTGACACCCATAGGTGCAGGACCAACGCTAGCTCACAGAAACCTGCTGAGAGGGCTTTCCGTAGTCACCTATTCAGGTCCCATAGCTGCCACTTGCAACTCCACCACTGTCCGGATAGTGCGAGCCTCCAGCAACGCTTTCCAGCCAGGCCATCAGCCAGGACAACAGGAAGACAGATCCAGTTTCATCCTCATGACCTTCTGCACACTCATCCTCAGCCTAGCATGCAGTCCACAGGGTTAAAGGGATATCCAGGAGATGGTAAAGCAAACATGCTCTCTACCTGGACAGCCCACTGAAGCTGCTTCCACCATTTCATTGCAAACCTGAAAAGCTACATCCGTTAATAGTTGATCCAGCGTTCCATCAGCTGAAAGAAGACAACTATTTTGTCTAGTTACAGATTCTCTAAAAAGAGACATGCAACACACACATCTAGGAGATGATCCACATCTCTCGCCAGTCCATCCACCATCAGCAGCCTCTGTTATATGTGAAAGTTGCACTGATTATTTCTCACCTTGACTATTACACAGTGCAAGCTACTATTACGACTACAGAAATAAACTATCTGCTAACCAAAGAGACAATAAAATTTATATAGGAAGCAATTAGGCCCTTTTAGTAGTCCCTGTTTAGTATCACAGAAAATCCTTTCAAAAGTCCTTTTCTTCTAACCAGAACCCTGCTTATGCCTTTCAAATTAAAGTAGTATTAGCTCCAATACCTATAACAGTGGGGAAAATAAGTCTGCTTTAACACCCCAAGGATGAAAAAAAATAATGAGAAAGAAGTCACGTGTTTGATGTTTTGTGGATATTTTTTGATGCAAATGCCATTTTCTGAGTAACTGCATCCTAAAGTAAAAAAAAAAATAAAAATCTAGAGATACAAAAAATACAATTCTTACACCATTTTCTTTTGCCTCTCTGTGGGATACACCAAGGACATATCCACATATGGAAAAAACCCATATATTGATCAGGACAAAGTAAAGAATGGGACTATTTGAAGAATGAATAATTTAAAAGCTCTTTATAAACAATTAATGATCATTTGACAGAAGCAAGTATAAGAGAAAATTTTCACAGAGCAAGAGAAACAACAGTAGAGGTAATTTCTAATCTCTTCTATGGTCAGGCTCCAGATCAAGGAGGGCACTTAAATAAGTAGCAGAGATAAAGTGAGTTCAGACTTAGGTAAGTTACAGGAAGGAAAGGCATTCAAATACGAAATACACAGATTGCTGATGATAGAGATGACAGGGAATTCACATCAAGACACGCAAGTTTCCAACAACATGCCTTGACTTGATAGGTTATCTTTAAAAATCCCTACGGAAGGAGCAGTTCATATTTATTTAACAAAGATGCGCTGGCATTCACACCGTATGCATCACCAAAGCAGTTACCTCACCCATTTCCCCCCAAGCACAGCCAGAAACACTACTCCTGCAGCAGAGGCAGGGGGAAGATTTCCATAGAAGAGGGAAGCTCTTCCGTAGTCTCATGTTTACAAAGGAGTTTACTGGGTTGTCAAGGAGAAAAAAAAAACCCACAGTGCTCCCCACATGGCATGCTTTGAATACACACAATTAAATTTGTCACAAAATTACAGATGAGTTCTCCGCCAAACTTTGAAAGCCTGCCCCAGTACCCTCGCTTCTCTCCTAATTGGGCTTGGCAAGGAGCACCAAGATACTGTTAAGTCTGACAGTTTGCTCGAGAACCAGATCCACAGGTTGGAGGAGTTTTCTCGAGCCGCTCCCAGCTGGCTGGTGGGCAAACCACAGGGAGGCTGCCAGAGCCTCCAAGGAAGGCAAAGTTGAGGGCAGGATGCGACACACTTACCGCAACCATGCGGGCTAACTTGGCTTCCTAACACCCAGTGCAGCTTACAGCCTCTAAGCAAAGGCACAGGACTATTAGCTCAAACAGGGCGAGATTAGTTTTTTATTGCATTGTTAAAGTATGCATTCAGTAAGATTGATTGTTCTTACACCTTCCAGGACTGTGAATAGGATGTTTAAAAAAAAGAAGAGAAAAGAAAAAGAGTTGGGATCTCTTACAATTAAAAGATAAAGCAACGAGTCCTCGTATTTTGTAGCTGAACACAAAAGCCAGACACCAGATGGGTCACCCTCCCTAAAAACAACTGTAAACAAGGCTCAGATACTGAAGAGGAACAGCAATACCTTGTAGCTCCGTTAACATGTCAATTTATTCATTCCAGAGCTGGGTCATTGGCTAATAAAGCAAAGAGCGCTTACTGGACACGTCAGTAATGTTGCAGAACCTGACAATCTAACACGTTTGCCTACTTTCTCCTCCCCCATTTTTAAACATAGTTAAAATATCCGGTTAGAGGGTCAAAGAAAAGAATCTAGGACAGATCCCTAACACGAGTGAGTCGTAAGTGCAGAAGCAATGTAAACCCATGACTTCGGAGGAGCAGGTAGTGCAATAGCACATGAGACAGACAATTGTGTCCATAGGTAAGTAAAACCGGGATAATGCCAGAATTAGGTTAGCGGTTGCACTTGAGCTTCTGGAATGCTCAAAGTTGAAGCATTTTAATTCTATTGCTGTTTTATAACAGCTGATCTGTTAGTCCTCATAACACTTTGGCCTGGAAATTACTTATTACCAGATGAAAAGCACAGAAAATAGGTGAAGGAAAAAAAAGTCTATCTACCCATGGGGCAACACAACAGGATTTACGTGATCTGTGGTTACAATAAATGCAGGCAGAGGCAGACAAATTGTGCCTGTCTGACTCTGCCTACAAAACTCAAGACCTTTCAGTTTATTAAATA